GGGAATGGCCACACCTCATCCACCAGAAGGGTATGGGGTACAAAGGGAACAAGGGGAATATGGCACCTTTCTGGTTGCCAGCCACCAGTCTGTGTCTCTGTGTAGTCCTCAACAAGTGGAGCTCATTATTAGATTGTTGCCCTGACAGGAATGCCACTTGCAAGTATTCAAAATGGCAGTGCTGTCAGGCTAGTAGATAGTCCACAATTCCATTTGTTTCTTTGTTCACTGTTTTCATTGAGTTTCTTCTAGTAGTCAGTATTTAATCCACTTCTTTATTCTTTTCTTTGAAGTTCAGGGTTCCAGCATTATCACCTGTATCTGTTTTTTCAATTGGTTTCTTGTTTCTCTGTTGTAGAAGCTCTGGGTAGCTTTTCTGCCTATTCCACCATCTTGCTGGAATTTCTGACTCTTTTGTAGGAATAAGTCATATGATCAGTGATAAAGTTAAATGAAGCATAAAAGATTTAGATTCATAAAGAATAATTTTCTAGCAGTGAAGGTTACTGAGAGAAGCCTTTAGAAAGGACAAATAATAGTTTGTCAGTCTACCTAAATGATGTTGAATAGACTGTGTGACCTTTTTTATTCTTTAATTAATAAGTTTCACCTCCTTTTTCTTGATGTTTGTCTTTTCTAGATTATCAAAAGAGTGGGGAGTAGTGAGGAAACACCAATGATTGGAGACAAAGTTTATGTTCATTACAAAGGAAAATTGTCAAATGGAAAGAAGTTTGATTCCAGTCATGACAGAAATGAGCCATTTGTCTTTAGTCTTGGCAAAGGTAAGAAAATATTTTTGTTATGTTTTGCTTAGCTTTATTATGATTTGCATTATTCAGAAGCAGTGGATCCTATCCTTGCCAGAAATAATGATATTTTGGAACAATAGTTCTTAAAGTATGGCCCAGGGACCTCCTGAGATCATATTAGGGCATCCATAATGTCAAAATTATTTTCATAGTAATACTAAGATGTTACTTGCCTTTTTAATGTGGTGACATTTGCACTGATAAAAAGCTACAGTGGTTAAAACTATAGGTGGTGTCTTAGCATAAATCAAGGCAGTAGCACCAAATTATACCATAATTATGGTCTTTTTCACTGTCACTTACTCACTGCAAAAAATACATAAGCCAGTTTCACTTAATAATGTACTTGTGATAAAGTGATAGAAATTATTCATTTTATCAAATCCCAACACTTGATTTACACATTGTTTTGATATTCTGTGCTGACAGGGAAGCTCACAGAAAGTAGAGTATGCTGATTGTGTCAGGGAAAGGCACTTTTGCACTTGGTTTAGTCATAAACTGAATTAGCTGCCTTTTTTTTTTTTT